GCAACGCTGTGCCGGAGGCACACTGATGATGTTACCTAGCAGGGTAATGAAATGTCTGCAACCGAACACACCGGCTTGGCAAGCAAGTCTACAGCCTCTTGTAGTAAGGTTTATTAGTGAGATCAGAGGTTATTTCTAAGAAGTATGATTTGAAAAGTAACGGATCATTGTAAAGAGACTAGGGATGTTCTAAGCAGCCTGTGGTATATGAATGACCTAAAACAACTTAAACCTTAATGTGCTGGTTGCACTTATTTTGTGTAATAACATATGCATGTCAATGAGATCTAATATATGCAGTTATATACGATTTATAAAAATGCTTTTATATTTCGGATTACCAATATATTTCTGGATGAATAAAACAAAGAACTGGAACATGCTGGAAATCTGAAACAAATACAGAAATTGCTGGAGAAACTCAGCAGATCTGGCAGCTTCTGTGGACAGAGAAACAGAGTTAGCATTTCACATCTAGTGACCCTTCAGAATATATTTATGGGTCTCATTGGGGCTCTTTATATGAAGGTATTTGAAAATAGATTTTCTGCCCATTGACTCTGAATAATGCAGAGGAAAAATTTTATCCCTTATTTAATTAATTGGAGTGAACTTGATTTACAGATTCAATTTTATGACTCCCAGTCTGTTAATGAAAGTTGACGAATAGGTTGATTAAAGTTTCAGGTATTTTAAACAATATATTAGCTAATCCTGGGTTGTTAGCTATTGTTGAAAGATGAAGTGCAAAGTGAAGAAATTGGGTGATGCAGTAGATTAGCACGCACTGTTCTCTGTGGGGTTGAATTGTCCTCTGTGCCAGCTTTGAAGGCTCTTACATAAAATGAAAAAAGAGCTGTACAGCCAAATTTTGGCATAAATTGTGAATTATAATTATAAGTGCCTAAGGGTAGCTCATGGATTTGTCAGTGGTGCTACAAGAGTGTCTTTTCTGATTGAATTAATGCAATAGGAGCAACTTCACCCATAACCAGTAAATGTTGAATTTCATTCTAATAATGGGTGGAAGGAGTTTATAAAAAATTGTTCATAGCACTGATCCTTGCATTAAGCAATATATAATTCCACCAAAAAGCTGCTATCACCAAAAAAACTGTACATCTAAATTAACTTTGAAACCAGTATTAATGGTTACCAAACTAAAGCTGATGTATACATGTAATGACTAAATATATTCCAAAAAGTGTTTGAAAAACATTTCAACAAGAATTGAAGAAATTTGTCTTGGCTCTAGATGTTTCCAATATGAATATTATTCAGATCTCTAAAATCTCCAGATATGACCTCATCAGTGATATCATAACTATTTGCTAATATGCAATGTATTAATTTAAGAAAATAATGGCTCTAATATCATCTGGCAGCATTAGTTATAAATTTGGCTGCAGCACTATTGGTGACGTCACTTTATATTTCGAGAGGAACAGGTTGATGGTTGGGAAACTTTCAGAATTTAAGACTATTTGCACATGCAAATGTATATACATTTTCTTTAAAACATAGATAAATTGTTGATGAAATTTATCGATGCAGGGGATAGTCAATTTCTGTTCAGCTTTTGAACAGATATAGTAAGTAGATAGATGCAAGATGTATCTCCCACAGAACGGAAATTAGAATGAGTTGCCAGAGACTACTCTTGCAGTCAGCTGAAAACTGACATTGATCAAGGAGAAATGATTCCTTTCTATCTGGAAATTATGCTCTGCATGTGTAGGGCAACAAGAAGGGAGCAAGGAATATACTGCTAGGGTACCATTTCTAAAAGGCCAGTGGTGAACGTATTGTTTTGATTCATTATAATGGGAGTTTGTCACAGGAGATAGACTTTTCCTTTTAATCAGTTGGTTCGTTTCAGGAGATAACTCTTGAGATAAATTAGTGCAAGACATACTTTGAAATACAAACACTATTTCTGATCATCTGTTTATCATTATCATATAATGCCTTTCATAAAATAACATTTTGAGAAAAAAACTTTGATTTCAAAGTTAAAGCTTACAAATAAAAGGCATTGATGAACTAAAGCTTTGGGGTGTGGTTTACAGGGCATAAACGGAGATTGATTTTAAACCTAAACATATTTTCTATGTGACCTTTTCAAATACTTCATTTTGTGTAATCTTTCATGATTTTTATCTTTAGGCAGTATTTAATTTGGATTATAAAAATGGAAATGTGGCATGCAGGAGCACTTTGGCATGAAGAATAGAGGAGTTGGCTATTATTAAATGGAGCAAGACTGCAGAAGGTTGCAGAACAATGGGATTTGGGAGTCCTTGAGCATGAATCACAAAACCTAGCATCCAAGTTCACCAGGTAATAAGAAAGGCAAATGAAATATTAGTGTTTATTTCAAAGGGAAAGTAAGGAACTGTACAAGACACTAGTCAGACCACAGCTAGAACACTGTATACAGTTTTGGGCCCGTTATCTAAGGAAAAGTTGGAGGCAGTTCAAAGAAAGTTCACTAGTGATCCTGGATATGGAGGTACTGCCTTATGAGAAAAGATTGTGTAAGTTGGACCTGTACTCATTGGAGTTTAGAAGAATGAGATGCAACCTTAATGAAACTTGCAAGATACTTAAGGAACTTGATAGGGTAGATACGAAGAGGTTGTTTCTCCTTGTGAGAGTCTTAAGAACAGTGTGCATAATCTCAGAATAAGGGGTCACACATTTAAGACAAAGATGAGGAGGAATTTAATAATCAAAGTTGAGATACACAGATTTTTAGTCATAGGAAAACAAACGTTATAGATAAAGGCAGGAAGATAGAGTTGATGATTATCAGATCAACTATGATCTCATTGAATGGCAGCACAGACTCAATGAGCTGAATGGCCTATTTCTGCTTTGGAAGACTTAATTCAGTGGGACCCTAATAGTGAGGTGAAATGTAGAACTTAAGTCAGTGGTGGGTTAAGCCTCACATCATTTTGTAATATGTTTGTATCCTGTGAATAGTCAGTACCTTAAAATCTTTTTTAAATTAAGATTGAGTCAGAAGTGGACCTAAAACTTGTGGCAAAGGTCATTTTAAAGGTGGCATGCACCACTGCACTACTTTCGAGGAGAGCAGAGAAGTGTCCTCAGTGTCCTGTGCAATATTTATCCATCATTCAACGTCACAAAAACATATATCTGAACATTATCACATTCTGTTTCTGGGGTTTTGCAGTGTCGAGGTTGGCTGCATAATTTCCTGCATCGCAACACTGACGACACTTCTGAAGTATTTAATGGTTATAAAGGATTCTGAAGTCATGAGAACATAATTTTTTTTTCATGCCAGATGATTCACTGGTGATAACTGCTTCAGTGGAAGTGAGGGGTGTGGTGCTCTTTAGTAGTACCCAATCAATTACTGGGCCCTCTTTACTCGGCCTTAAGAATTAATGCTATGTTTTGAATTTCTGCATGTATCCCCATTCCATGCCTTGTTGTTCACTTAAGAAAAATTGGTTTGTATGAGTCAAAGGAATTTGGGATGTGCAACAATTCTGCCCTTGTCAGTCATACGCATATCCCATGAAAGAATGAAAGAAAAAGCCTATGTATTATATTAAATGTATACTGTTGTTCACACCTTGCAACTCCATAGACCCTGTTTTTACCTGAAGTTTCATTCCAAGTAAGTCCTTGTGTGGCATCAATTTCTTTATGTATTGGGATACACCATCTGTTTCACTCTGCGCCTGCTGTTGGATGTCAGATTTGTTTATAAAGATAACAGTTATAGCTATCCAGACAATGTTGTAGTTACAAGAAAATTTCCCCTTTCGGTATATTTACATTAATGTTCAAAACTGTACAGTCCCACAATTTCTTTAGTGAATTAGAGTAAAGTTATACTACTTCCTGTTTTTAATTTAATCTAGTCTTTGAGTGTGACAGATTGACTAAAAATGTGAAATAGGACATGAGGGTGAAGGTTTGCAGACTGAGCCTAGAACTGTGAGAAGCCAGAAAAAGGAAAGAAAGTGCTGGGCATTTTAAGCTAAAGCCAGAAATAAAAATGCAGCTGAGAGATTCCATGAGGGTGGATTATTCTTTGATGGAATTCATTATCGGTATTTAAATTCGACTTGTGTCAAACCATATAGTCTGGAAATATTAATGTATGTTAATACGCCAGTGAGCTACTAACGTTCTATGCAAGTTTCCAGATATTAATTTTACAATTTAGGTACAATTAAGTCAGATTTTATACTTTGCTGACTTACAACATGGTGTCAAAGGTATCTTGATAGACTGGCCTTGAACAAAATTAGTCCCACACAATGACCTATTATGTTCTTTGAGATATTCTTGAACAAATATACAAAAAGTAATTTGATTCACAAACCTTATAACCAAAAACAATTTTTCAAATTAATGCACAATCTTCCAAATAAATCTGGTAATATTTATCTAACAGTTATTTTCCTTAAAGGTAATGGTTCCAATGCCAAACAAATGAAAATTATAGAAGAATGGAAACAATGATATAAACTTGCTTGGTTTAATCATAATGGTATAAGATTCCAGATCTAGACTGTTTTATGTCAATGGATTTTGTTGATACTGACCTTTATTTCAACTGTAGTTAATTTTAAGTTGATGTTAAGTTGTTTTTCGTAATCTAAGGTGTTCCAAGTCCTTTCTGTGTCACCCCAGACTCTCAATTTCTGAGTGTTATGTAAGTTTAAATCCAAATGTACGACTTATATTTAACCTTTCTAACAGTTTTCTTTGTTGTTTCCAAATTGAATTTCAAATTCCCAAATGTTGTGGTTTAATCAGGTTACAGCTGTTTCTGCAGTAATGGTTTCCCTGTACCATGCTGCACCAGACAAAAACAAATTGGGAGAGTACTTATGTAAAGTCTTTTAGGTAGTCAAATGTCCCAAGGCACTGTTAGACATACAGTACATAAATTTGGCACATTTGTATTATTTCCAACATTTCAGCCATTTTGGAAATATTGTCCATGTGGTGGTCGGTTACCTCAGCTGGTTAGAGCGTGGTGCTAATAACGCCAAGGTCGTAGGTTCAATCCCCATACTGACCAAGTCCATAGGATTCTAGCCACGACTTTAATGCTTTGTGTTCTGACTGGAAGTTTGCGTGGCCGTCTCTACTTCGAGGCGGCACGGTGGCTCAGTGGTTAGCACTGCTGCCTCACAGCGCCAGGGACCCGGGTTTGATTCCACCCTTGGGTGACTGTCTGTGTGGAGTTTGCACATTCTTCTTGTGTCTGAGTGGGTTTCATCCGGGTGCTCCGGTTTCCTCCCACGGTCCAAAGATGTGCAGACTAGGAGGATTGGCCGTGCTAAATTGCCCATAGTGTTCTGCGATGTGTAGATTAGGTGTGGTATGGTGGGATGGGTCTGGATGGGATGCTCCGAGGGTTGGTGTGGACTTGTTGGGCCGAAGGGCCTGTTTCCACACTGTAGGGATTCTATGATTCTGTGGATTCTGATTGTGTGTCAGGTTTTCTGACAGACATTGGCACAAACCAGCCCTTGATCCAGTCATCACAGCACTTGCATGGTGGTGAAGGCAGGAAGTAAATAAATAGTAGGCCATTTAGGACTGAGATGAAGAAACATCTTCACTCAGAGGGTCTCCATTAGTGCAATTTGCTGCCACAGGAAGCTGTGAAAGCTGGTTCAATGAGTATTTTCAAGAAAGATATTGATGATGCTTTAGATATTAAAGGCATCACAAGAGTTTAAAGAGAAAGCAGAATTATGAAATTGAGATAGAGGATGACCATGGTCAAGTATCTAGAGAGTTGTTGAAGTTGCACTCATCCGGGCAAATGAGGAGTATTCCATCACACCCCTGACCAATGTTACCTCTAATTATTTTTCTGCTGCAAGGACTGATGAGGAATACAGCTTCTATAAGCAGAAGCTTATGCGTTAACCTGCTTATTGGCTTGCGTGAAATCTTCTAGTATTTGTGGTGCACTTTAGAGGGAACATTGCTCCTGACTTGTGCCTTTTAGATGGTGGATAGGTTTTGGGAAGTCAGGAGATGAGTTGTTCACTGCAGGATTATGAGATTGGACAAAGATCAATCTGACTCTCCCCTCTCTATAGCAGTAGTGTTGAATCACTGTTAAGGTTTCTTAACAATCTCTGACTAGTATAAGACTTCCTTTTTGAAGGAATTCATTGTCTGAATATTTTTGCACAACCTGAAAATTTTGCCAAGACTGGCAAGCTGTGTATCCAATTTATTTTAGGTTTTTGAAACTTTAAATCTTGAAACTAGTTATGCTCTGAATCTTTTTAATATGTGGCTAATGACTGGGGTTACTATGAAAGATTTTCAACCAGTATATTAATTTAGACACTTTGAAACCAGTCTGCTTTCATTCAGATCAATCAGTGTGCTATTGATATGTTGGTTTAAGCTTTTGTTTTTTTCAAATTCTTTATTGGGATGTAATATTGCTGGCAATGCCAACATTTGTTGCCCATCTCTAATCTCCCTTCAGAAGGGAGATGCCATCTTGAACCACTGCAACCAATCTGGTTTGGATACACCCATGGAGCTGTCAGTAAGTAATTCCAGGAATCTCAATTCAGTGAAAGTGAAGGAGATGCTGTATAGTTCCAGGTCAGGATGGTTTGTGGTTTGAAGGGGAACTTGCAAGTAATAGTGTTCCCAGCATCTGTTGCCCTTGTTCCTCTCGGTGTCGACGTTATGGGTTTGGTAGGTGCTCACTGCTGTGCTTCTTATATATTTGTCTTTGATAGTGTTGTGCTTCTTGAGCATTTTTGGAGCTGCACTCATTCAGGCAATTGTGTGCTATTCCATCAAACTACCACCTTTTTCCTTGGAGATCTGTATGCCTTGAATTCCAGCTTGTTGTGCATCCCCAATTAACTTTGTCCCATCAACTGTCTAGAATCCAATGCTTAAACCTCTCTGCATCTCCTACTTTAAGATGCTTCTTAAAAGTTGACTCTTTGACCAAGCTTTTGTTGTTTTTCCTTTATTCATTCACGGGATCAGGGCTTTGCTGGCTAGGCAGCATTTATTGTCCATCCCTGCTTGCCAAGAGAGCAGTTAAGAGTCAACCACATTGCTGTAGGTCTAGAGTCACGTGTAGGCCAGACCAGGTAAGGATGGCAGTTTCCTTCCTTAAAGGACATTAGTGAATCAGATGGGTTTTCCCTGACAATTGGCAATGGATTTATGGTCATCTTTAGACTCTTAATTCCAGATATTTATTGAGTTCAAATTCCACTGTCTGCTGTGGCAGGATTTGAACCCGGTTTCCCAGAACATTATCTGTGTCTCTGGATTAACAGTTCAGCAATAATACCACTAGGCCATCACCTCCCCCTTTTGTTCATCAGTGCTAATATCTTATGTGGCTCAATGTCAATGTTTTCCATATAATACTTCAGTGAAGTGTCATGGGGGTAATTTTCCATGTTAAAGTTGCTATAAAAATTCAAGTTGTATTGTTTTCCTTAGAAGTAATACACATGTACTATATTTTTGTTTTATTTTTCTCTTAGTGAGAGTCAATTTGCCAATTTCTATTCTCAGCAATGCACCCAATACAACATGTGAGACAGTGACCAAAACTCAACCTTTAATACGATGTCAGTCTGGCAATTCGCCTCTGTGAAATTGACAGCATCCTTGAAATCTCTTTCACTATTTTCATTCCTTCCCTAAGTCTAGCTTTCCACTTGCTCACACCATGAACTCAAATTTGTGCTTACATTTGTTGACGTTAAACATGTCGTCTAATATAATGTGCTACTTTGTTTTTGGTTGAAAAAAATTTGAAAAAATATTTATTTGTAGGGGTTGAATTTTAGTTCTGATTAGAGGAAGTTTAATAATGTGAAATTGAATACAGATTGTGGGATTGCTTTTAGAGCTTAGAGTTCTGATTTCTTTATGTAATTTGAATAAAGTCAACACTGTGGTGGTTTTAGTACCATTTAACTTTTGACTGTGGGAAATTATCACATCTTCCTGAGATCTACCTCTCTATCATTAACTCAATTTCACACACTCTTACCTTATATTTGACAAATTTGATTGTCAAGTCAATTTTTATTGGACTGAACTATTGCTTTATTCATTCTGAGAAAACACCCAACCAGTTCTCAAAGAGGAAACAAGATTGGAAAGTTCCTGCTGTGAACAGTTGTGAGGGAAGCTTTATATACTGCTATTTGTCATTTTTTTGAATGAGTAGGCTTTCATCACTTAGCAGAATCAATACAGTATTCCATGGGACTCCATTAAGTACCTTCCACAAAGCACACGACATTTTATTTCCCAGTAATCTTCCACCTACCCCCACCCACCCCAAATCCACTCCATGATATTATACTCATGTTGTGCTACACAGCTTTACATCTGACATTCCAGCTGATTTGGTTATATTTACTTTTCAAACAGATTCAAGCACTTTCCATGGACTCTCTTTAAAAAAAAAAGAAAGCTGAGAATTTTTTGTCAAGACTTTTCAATATGTTTTATGAAAAAGAACTCAGTATAAGGCAGTAATTCAATCTCAGAGTCTCTGCTGGGAATCAGGAACCCTCAAGCTTCACCCTTGTGGTTTATGATGTGATTAGAATGGCTTGATTGAATTACTGCCTTGTAACTGTGTTACGTGCAGTGAAATAAAACCTGATATCACTGCAGTACAAATCATATAGCATAATGGAACTGTGGTTCAATTGTCACTGCTTTTCGTTTGAATGTTCCACAACTGCCTTCACCAGTGCCATGTTTTCCTCACAAAATTTCATAATGTCAAAAATAAGTGCCATGTACCATTTATAAAAGTTAATCTGGCACACAAGCAGATCTAATATGTAGTCATGAGCAGAAATAATATATAAGGCTGCATACTAGCTGTTTCCTTATCCAATATATAGTCATAATAATTAGTCACACTCAGCAAATGAACACTGTTTATTCTATCTAATTTTTAAATATTTTCTTCATTACTCATTTTGAATATTTTTGCCCTTGGCCTATTCAATTACTCCTTAACCTCTTCCTCCCTTTGGTGGCACAATAAGTAACCCAAACTATAACTGGAATAGTTTTCAGGTACATGACATGAGTGTTCTGCATTTTCGTTTTGATACATGCTTTAGTCAATGTTATAAGAATGGCAGAAGGTTAGCACAAAGATGTCTAATGTGCTCTACCGTAAGTGTTCAACCTTCTTTCTTGTCCATCAATAATTCTTTGAATAAAAAATGTAGATGAAAATCTTGCCTCAATGCTTCATTCATTCCTGTCTGGAATAAATAAAATATCATACAGTTCCCACATGTAAGACACTTTATATATGCACATTGGCTCATTCTCAAGTATACATTCTGTTTTTGTTTTCCATATAAAGATAGAGACTCATTGCTCTAAAATTTGTTTAAATATACATTTTTAGTGTATTAAAGTTACTGAATAGGGAAAACAATGAACACAACCCCTTAAGTTTACACAAGTAATCCCTATTTTGCTTCTTATTGGACAAATTAAATGTGGATTGAATCATCAAACTGCAGCAGTATAACCAAAGATGGTCATTCTGTGTTTAAAAATATGGTATAATATATATTATACTAATAGTTGCTGTAACATTCTCAGCTATTCTATACCAAAGCAATAACAAATAAACATTTGAAAGGAAATATATTGTGCCAGCTGGCTATCCCAAATATAGAATTATATATTATTTATTTGCCTCGCTGTCTCATTTTATTTCTCTTACTTTGTTGCCTTGAGACAATAGGTACAATGTTTGACAGGGATGACAATTAAAGTTTTGATTGACAGTACTAATTGTAATATGCTTAAAATCCTGTCATCATTTAATTTTCCATTACAGAATTAAGTTACTGTGGGAAGGATTTGCAGCCACTGATGAGAGATGATCAGGAAGGCAAAAAAAAAGGGTTTTGCTGACGGGCCAGTTTGCTAGCACCATCATTTACTCAAGCCATTCTTCATTGGATAGGATCAGCAGTTAAAAGGCTGCATATGGCCCAAATCCGTGTTTTAATTTGTAAGTTTGCGAAGTTGGAGAGAAATATTCTCAAAATGAAGACTCTCCCTCTTTCTCTTTTACCTGCAACTGCAAGTTTATTTTCATTCTAAACTGGAGGACCTCCTATTAGCTCAATCAGCTTTGCGAGCCCTCCTGCTGTCCTTAATTGGTGCAAGTCACTTTTTCCCACATGATGTGTGGTCATGACCCCCATTTGACCCCATTGTCAGGGTCACATCCAAAAAGGTAAATTCCTGTCCAATGAGACAGCTGATTATTTGGGAAGGGTTAGTACTGATAATGTTTATATATGTTGCAGTCCTAGGGATGATATTGCACAGTACTAATTAATTTCTAGCTTGATGTACTAATAATACTGTTTTAGTATTATTGCTGCAGACATGAATTAAGTTAGTAATCTAATTATTAATTTAATTTAAGTTTTTTAAAATATTTTTCCAGTTTTTACAATATGAAGCGTAATGCTTCACATTTCAAGCTCAGGTTATATATAGTATTCCTTTATGTCCAGTATGGAGCACAAATAAGAAAGGAATTACATGAAAAGAAAACATGAAAATGTTATTCAGTTATGAGCACACATTTGGATTGCAATTGACACTGCTTACCTCAGGGTATTATAAATTTCATTGTTGTTGTAAACTATGATAATGAGCTTAAACTTTTGTTTTGATTTCCTCTAGGTAATTGATATAGGATCAGGAAAGGGATATTTGAGTTCTTACTTGTCCATGCAGTATGGCTTGAATGTGTATGGCATTGATTCTTCCAGTACCAACACCAGTGGGGCGAATGAAAGGAACAGAAAATTAAAAAGATATTGGAAGGTTTATCAACGTCAAACAAAGCATCAGAACCAAGACAACTCTGCACCAGAAAATCTGAAAGAAGAGCCAACGAATAATATGGAGCATTTTGAGGAAGCCAAGGAACAAATTAGCCATAGTGGGGAGCAAGGAAATAGTCCACAAAGTCAGTCAAGCCACGTACAGACTCCTGTTACTGATACTTCCTTAGATTCAGAGACCAGTGAGAAAAGTAACAGTGTTGTATCTGCGCAGTTTGTGGGATCAACAGACAATGAATTTGATGGCACTGACAATCTGTTACTGGAATTTCTGTCAACCGATGCTGTGGAAATGAGTTCACTGTCAAGGAAAAAGAAAGATCTCGATGATATAGAGAAAGAGAGAAGGAAAACGGCAAGTTTGGAAGCTAAAGCGAAGCAAATCAAAGAGGCAAATCTCTACTCTCCATTAACACTGCATGTTACTTCTACAACCGAACTCCAAGACATCATTTCTGACATAAAGGTTAGCCTTCCTTAGTCAAAGTGCAATGTATAAATATAGAATGGATGGCTGTTTTATTCAGCTGGCACATGCACAATTAACTGAATGATCTCTTCCTGTGTCAAACATTTTCTATGGTTCTAAAGTCTTAACCTGTGTATTAAGACTGTGTGAGTGACAAATTGGATTAACATACTCTCTGTTCACCTTTGGAACCCAGTTTAAATTCAGCCTATGATCACAACTTAAAGGCAACCTTTTCAACTATCTGCCAGCCAAAAGCAACAATCTAAGCATTCTAACCCCATCTTCTAGCACTTGTCCCTTAGCCTTGTATGTCTTGGCATTGCAAGTGTTTCTTATATGTTATGAGGTTTTCTGCCTCTATAAGTCTATAGGCAATGAGTTTCAGATTCCCACCACCCTGTGGGTGAAAAACGTTTCCTCACATCCTTCCTAATCCTCCTGTTCCTTAAATCTATGTCCACTGGTCATTGATCCCTCCACCAGGGGATTTTTTTTTTCCCCTGGCTATGTCCGTTATAATTTTATACATCTCAATCATGCCTCCCTTAGTCTCCTCTACTTGAAGGAAAACAACTCTAGTCTATCCAACTATCTAATCTCTCTTCATAACTAAAACTCTCCAGCCCAGATAACATCCTGGTAAATCTCCTCTTGTACCCTCTCCTGTGCAATCACATCCCTCCTATAATATGGATTCCAGAACTGCACACAATATTCTTGTTGTGGCCTAACCAAAATCTTATACAGTTCCAACATAACCTCCCTGCTCTTAAACTCTCTGCCTTGGCTAATAAAGTCAAGTATCCCATATGCCTTCTTAACCACTTTATTTATCTGTTCTGCTACCTTAAGTGACCGGTTGGACCCTATGATCCTCTGTGTTTCCCAGGCTCCTACAGTTCATTGTGTATTGCCTTTTCCTGTTTGTCCTGCCTAAGTGATTCATCACACATTTATCCAGAATGAATTCCATTTGCCACTGATAAGCCCATCTGACTAGTTCGTCTATATCCTCCTGTAATCTAAGACTATCCTCCTCACTATATCATCTTACCAATTTTTGTATCATGTGCAAACTTACTGATTAGCCCTCCTACATTCAAGATCACATTGTTTATATATACCACAAACAGCAAGGGCTCCAAAACTGATCTCTATGGATCACCACTGGACACAGGCTTCCAGTCAGAAAAACACCCCTCGACCATCAATCTCTGCTTCCTGCCATTCAGTCCATTTTGTATCCAATTAGCCAAATTACCTTGGTTCTTATGGACTTTTACTTTGGATGTCAGTCTCCCATGTGGGTTCTTATCAAAAGCCTTGCTGAAGTCCAAGTAGACCACATTGGTGCACTGACCTCATTTACGCACCTGGTTACCTCTGAAAAATTCAGTCAGTTGATCAGACATGACCTCCCCATGCAGACTGTTCTTGATCAATCCCTGCCCCTCCATATGCAGATTAATTCTGTCCCTCGGAATAATTATTGCTGCCATTAGTTACCCCACCACTGAGGTTAGACTAACTACCCTGTAGTTTCTGGATATATTCCTTGCTCCCTTTTTGAATAACGGTACCACATTGTTTGTCCTCCAGTCCTCTGGCACCTCTCCTGGGCCAGAGTGGAATTGAAAATTATTGCCAGGACCTATACTATTTTCTCCCTTGCCTCACTTAACAGCCTGAGATACATTTCATCTGGCCTTGGATATTTATTTACTTTTAAGCCTACCAAACCATTCAGAACAACCTCTGTCTATGTTAATTTCTTTAAGTATATCACAGTCGTTCTCCCTGATTCTATACCCAAGTCATCTCTCTCACTAGTAAATACCAACACAAAGTATTAATTTAGAACCCCACCGACATCCTCTGGCTCCATGAACAAATTTCCACCGTCATCCTTAATGGGCCTTGCTTTTTCCATTTGTATCCTTAATGTACTTCTAAATTAACTTGGGATTTTCATTTAGTTTACTTGCTGTTATTCTGTTATGCTCCCTTTTTGTTCTCAATTTCCTTTTTAAGTTTCCCATTATACGTTCTATTCTCCTCTCATGCTTCTACTGTTTTGAACCCTCAGTATCTGCCATAAGCCTCCCTTTTTCTCTTTGTCCAATCCTGTATATCCCTTGATATCCCTGTTCACAGGATTTGTCAGTCCCATCTTTTGTCTTTATTGGAACATATTGGCCCTATACTCTGTCTATTTCCTTCTTGAATGCATCCCACTAATCTGACACAGATTTATCTCAAAGTATCTGCTCCCAAATCATACCTGATCTAATTAAAATTAACCTTTCCCCCAGTTTAAAATTTTGATCTCAGGCCTATCCTTGTCTTTTTCTATAAGGTCGAATCTAACAGAGTTATGATCACTGTCTGCCAATGTATTCTCCATTTGATACTTCAACCACTTGCCGAGCTTCATTGTGTAAAATTAAGTCCAGGACTGCCCCCTGTCTTGTAGAGCCATCTACAGACTGGGTTAAAAAGCTTTCCTGGATGCATATTAAGAATTTTGTTCCCTGTAAACCTTTCACATTACCTCAGTTAATGTTGGCGAAGTTGAAATCCCCTACTATCAGTACCCTATTCCTATGACACTTCTCTGAAATCTGTCTACATAATCTGCTTTTTTATTGCTCTCAAACTGTTAGAGGCCCTATTGTACACTCCCAGCAATGTGATTGCTCTTCTTTGGTTTCTAAGTTCTACACATATGGCTTTGTTTGAGAAACGTTCTAAAATATCATCCCTCCTTACTGCTGTAATTGATGCACTGATCAATACTGCGACACCCCCTCCTCTTCTACCTCCTTCCCTTTCTCACCCGAAGACCCTATATCCTAAAATATTGAGCTGCCAGTTCTGCCTCTCTCTTAGCCATGTCTCAATTAGATCATGCTGCCATGTTTTAATTTGTGACCTCAACTAATCTGCAATGATATGGTTAGTAAGTTTGCAGATGATACCAAAATTGAGGATGTAGGGGACAGTAAAGAAAGTTATCTCAGAGTACAGCGGGATCTTGATTAGATGAGCCAATGGGCTGAGGAGTGGAAGATGGAGTTTAATTTAGATAAATGTGAGGTGCTGCATTTTGGAAAGGCAAATCAGGGCAGGACTTATACTCCTAATGCTAAGGTCCTGGGGAGTGTTGCTGAACAAAGAGACCTTGGAGTGCAGGTTCATAGTTCCTTGAAAGTGGAGTCGCATTTAGATAGGATAGTGAAGAAGCCATTTGGTATGCTTGCCTCCATTAGTCAGTGCATTGAGTATAGGAGTTGGGAGGTCATGTTGTGGCTGTACAGGACATTGATTAGGCCACTATTGGAACACTGCATGCAATTCTGGTCTGCCTGCTATAGGAAGGATATTGTGAAACTTGAAAGGATTCAGAAAAGGTTCACAAGGATGTTGCCAGGGTTGGAGGGTTTGAGCTAAAGGGAGTGGCTGAATGGATTGGCGCTATTTTTCCTGGAGCATCAAAGGCTGAGGGGTGACCTTATAGAGGTTTATAAAATCATGAGGGGCATGGATAGGGTAAATAGACAAGATCTTTTCCCAGGAGTGGAGGAGTCCAAAACTAGAGGGCACAGGTTTATGGTGAGAGTGGAAAGATTTAAAAGGGACCTAAGGGGTAACTTTTTCAGGCAAAGGATGGTGTGCGTATGGAATGAGCTGCCAGAGGAATTGGTGGAGACTGGTACAATTATGACATTTAGAAGGCATTTGGATGGGTATATGAATTGGAATGGTTTAGAGGGATTTGGGCCAAATGCTGGCAAATGGTACTAGATTTATTTAGGACATCTGATCGGCATGGACTGGTTGAACTGGGGGGTCTGTTTCCATGCTGTACATCTCTATGACTCTATGACGTTGTTTGTCAAACTATTTGCATTAAAATGAATAACATCCAACCTTGCCAATCTTTCTTATGCTTTAACTGATCAATAATTTCTATGCCTTCTTGATCCCTTGCGCCCTGTTCTAATTTTGGTTGTTCATCTGCTCTGCTGATACTTCTGTCTGGAATCCATTCCCCTTCCAATTTAGTTTAAACAGTCCCCAACATTACTTGCAAACCTTCCTGCAAGGATCCTGGTCCCATTTAGATTTAGATGCAATCCATTTGCCTTGTACAGGTCTTGTTGCCCCCCCAAAGTATTCCCAATATCCCAGAAATCTAAAGCCCTCCTCCTGCCTCCAGCCCTGCATTCGTCTGGACTAATCTCCTATTTTTACACTCACTAGCACTTGGCACCAGAAGTAATCCAGAGATTGGCTCCTGTTCTTTAACCTACTTCATAGCTCCTAAAATTTTGCTTGCAGGGCCTCATCCCTTTTTCTACCTATCCATTGGTACCAATTTGTACCATGATCTCTGCCTGT